CATCCCAAAATTTCCAAGGCTTACTTACCTTTATAATGGGCAACTAATTCCTGGAGGCTGCTGAAGGTATTCCGAGGAGAGATGTAGAAACCCCCATTGTCTAGCGTCCGGATCTTGTAATGTTTCACGATGTCCAGGTTGTTGCTGTTGTCAAAATCTCTCACTGACAAAGAGAAACTCCCTGCCAGAAGAGGGAGAAAGAAAGACAGAGGGTGAGGACAATGGTTTCTTCCATGAAAATCTCTTTCGTAAGGATATAACTGGGTTTTTTTGTCTAGGGGCCAGGATGGCTATTACTAGACGGAAGGCACTGCCCTTATCAGTCTGGAAAATAGTTCCTATGCAGAAAGTAGCAGCCCTTGCTAAGGAAACAAGAACCAATTGGACCCATAACTCATCTATGCAATAGGGCAGCTTGTTCCTTATGTCAATGGAAATAATGATATTTGTTGTCCTGTATCAATGTCCTGTATTAAAGCGACCATGAATATGAGTTTGCAGGAGCTGAGGAAAGCAGGAGAGGACAGGGGGGGCTGGAGATGTCTCATCCATAAGGTTGCCATGGGTCAAGATCGACACACGCACAACAACAATCAATGCATAGTAATTTCTGGAGGAATCTGTCACTGTGAATACTATTTTCAATATGCAAGATATGTGTCCGTGTGGACAGTATTTTATCACTCTGTTAATGACTTTGGTCTAATCTGCATTACAGAATTCATGCAGTTTGACACCACTTTAGCTGCCATGGTTCCATGTTATGCAATTCGGGGATCTGTTGTTTTGTGAGATATTTAATCCTCTCTGTCAGAGAGCTGTGGTGCCACAACAAACTACAAATCCCACAATTGCACAGGATGGATCCATGGCAGTTAAAGCAGTGTCAAACTGCATTGTTTCTTTGTTAGACCTTTGATTGTACTTTATTGTACATGTATTACTGAAAAACAATAGACCTGCCACCACAGTTTTGGATGCAACCTTTTGGCCGACTACAAATGAGGTCTGAGATGCTGTTTCTGAGAAGGCTTTCTCCGTGAGAAACAAACATAGAGATTGGAATTAGCTGCAAAGGATCCAAACACATGTTAAAATATAATCAAAGTATTTTTAACCCCCCCTGAGGGAGCAGGCATATAGTTTGAGAGTACCAGATCCAACTTTGTCGCTGGATGTTCAGGGGGACCCCATGGTTCATAATGCTTTAGCCTTCTCTGGACAAGTATATTTTAACCAGAGTAGTCCATGCACTGGTAGCTTCTCATTTAGACTACTGTAATGCACTCTACATGGGGCTGCCCTTTCAAGATGACTTAGAAACTACAACACATGCAAAAGGCAGCAGCAATATTGTTGTCTGGAGTACAGGGTGGCCACACATCCTCCTTTTCCAGGACATGTCCTACATTTCAACCTTCTGTCCTGGAAGAATTCCAAAATGTCCTCCATTCTGAGCATCACGAAGAAGCAGATTTGCTGTTCCCCTTTGAGAAATGTGCATACTTGGCAGCTGGTCCTCGCTGCAAATAGGGAGATAGGATGGATTATTCTTAAAAAAAAATTTTTTTTCCCTAGGAAAAGCAGCAGACAAGACTTGCACCCAGAGCTTGGGGCAACTTTCTTTCTCAGAGGGGAAAAGGACAGCAAAGGTGTTAGGCAATGGGCTGCTTGAGGACACAATGTAAATGCTGAAAGGTTTTTTCCCCCTTAATTTCAGCACAATGGACAAATAAAAGGAATAATTTAAATGTAGATTCAATCAAGGGTTGGTCGCTAGCAAAGTACAATTTTAAGCCTTTGTCTTGCTCGGAGTTCTAGAGGTATATTGCAAGCCACCAAGGCATTTTAACAAAGATAAGTTCATCAGAAAAATACAGTTAAGAACATAATAAAATACAAAGTTATAGCTGTGTTAGTCTGTAAAATCAGTATGTAAAAAGATCTTGTAGCATCGTTGAGACTAACTGAAGGAAAGGAATTGGCAGCATGAGCTTTTGTAGACTGAAGTCTTGCCAATTTCTTTCATTTAGTCTCAAAGGTGCTACAAGATCTCTTTCCATAATAATAAAATAGCTGCAAATAAACCATATGAAATTTGTTTTTGTGTACCTTCAAGTCATTTCTGACTTACGGCGACCCTAAGGCAAACGCGTCATTGGTTTTTCTTGGCAAGTATGAAATACATTTTCACATTTATTGTGTTATGTCCTAAATTTTTCTTTAATGCCCTACATTTTGCAGTGCCTTGTCCTCCGTTGCTGTTATGACATCTGGTCACTCTACTGGAGTATGATATTGACAGCACATAACGGAGCTGCACTAGTTGCCAAGTCGCTCTCAGTCTGAATTTAATAAGCTGGTAATGGTATTTAAAGCCCTAAACAGCCTGGAACGCCAATGCTTGAAAGAGAGGCTGTCCATATATATATGCCTACCCAAGGTTTGAGGTCCACTGGAAGGGCCTTCCTATGTGTCCCATCAATGCACCATGGGAATATGTGGGGCACATCCTTCTTTGTTGTGGCACCCCAGTTATGGAACAGCCTCCCCTTGGAAGCCCAACTGGTGCCAACATTGCTGTCATTCCGGGACCATGTGAAAGCATGGTTGTTCACTAAAGCTTTTGGGGCTTGATTCATAGAACCATAGAATCCTAGAGTTGGAAGAGACCCTCAAGGGCCATCCAGTCCAACCCCATTCTGCCATGCAGGAACTCACAATCAAAGCATCCCCAACAGATGGCCATCCAGCCTCTGTTTAAAGACCTCCAGAGATTCGCTTTACAAAACCATCATACATACATTGTTTCAAAACATTTCAAGCAATTTTAACAAGTATTAATGTGTCTTTTTACTTGTTAAATTGTTTAATATGTTTTTAGCCTTTTAAAACCAATTCAAGTGTTTTTACACTGCTTTACATTAGTCATTTAAAACAGTGTATTTGAGGAGCCAGCGTGGTGTAGTGGTTTGAGTGTTGGATTACAACTCTAGCGATCAGGATTTGATTCCCTGCTCGGCCATGAACGCTGCTGGGTGACCTTGGACAAGTCACGCTCTCTCAGCCTCAGAGGAAGGCAATGTCAAACCCCCTCTGAACAAATCTTGCCAAGAAAACCCTTAGGGATGATATAGGTCAGAAATGACTTGAAGGCACACAACACACCCACAGACATGTTGAGGTCTTTGACAACAGGGCTGGACATGAAATTTTTAATAAAGAAAATCTTGCAATCCTCCTCCCAGATTTGCAGAAAGGAGAAGGTGAGGTCCTCTTAACCCTTTCCCCCCAGATTGTGTTTCTGGTCAAAATAAGGGGCACTCCTTATCCTGGCTGTTCGTAGGGCAGACAGTCAACCTGGCACCTGCTGCCCTTTTTTTGGGGTGGTGAACATTACCTTTAGTGGTCTCACTATCTCGAATCATGAAGGAGCCAATCATGTTTCCAGGGGCCAACAGCTGCCGCTCTGCATCCTTCCGGCTGACGCCTTTGAAAAACCAACTGAGGAGGCAACGTCCATAGAACAACATTGTGAGCAAAAGCTTACTAATTGCAATCACACTGCAGAAATATAGCAGTCGAACACCACTCTAAGTGCCATGAGTCTATCCTGTGGAATCCTGGGATTTGAAGTTTGGTGAGGCACCAGAGATCTCTGATAAACCAGGCTGAATACCTCACCAAACAACAAATCCCAGTAATCCTCAAGAGAGAGTTGTACAAGTTAAAGTAGTGTCAAACTGCCTTATTTCTGCAATGTGTGCATCTCCACTGCAGAAAGAATGCCATTTGACACCACTTTAACTTCCATGGCTCTAGCCGACAGAATCTTGGGATTTGTAGTTTTTTGAGGCTCCAGCAGTCTTTGGCAGAGAAGGCTAAAGACCTTTTAAAACTAGCAATCCCAGGATCCCATAGGATGGAGCTACAGCACTTAAGGTGGTATCAAAATGCATTATTTCTACAGTATAGAAGCACCAAGTACATCCATGCTTTCCAGAAACCAGCAGGAAAACCACTACCTTGCCCCCAATCCCACAGTTATCTTTCAGGGCTGCAGCAAATGACAGCTTTGCCTCTGCCCCACAACTAGAGTTGTGTCCAAATGTCCTTTCACTCTCCACATTTCTAGCATTGCAGAGAGTGAGGAAATGAAAATCGTTGACTTGTAGAACTCTTATTGTTTGTTGTGTTGACATTCCCTTGCTCATCTTGCCTGCCTTTTTTCTTTGGATGCCTAAATTGTATGTTATTTTGACCAAGGGATTGTCATAAAGAGGGTGCTTTCAGATTGTCTCAGCTTCTGTATAGCTAGTGACTCAGGAAGCTTCAGTGAAAGTCCAAAGATGTTTGCTAAACCTGGACCTCAATGGCCTTGGATAGTCGGTGGCTAGTTTGTGCACATACACATAAATGCCCACAGTCCACTTGCTTGGGTCTTCCTTTGAGTTAACTTAAGAACATTACAAAAATTAACAATGTGAAAGATCCATGAGCAAGTCATTAATCACTGCGGAATCAATAGGGATCTGCAAATCCCAAGTCAGTCCAAATGATGCATCTGGCTCCATCTTGCCTACCACAGCTGGAGGTTTTATGTTCTTCATAGAGAAGAAGGAGAAGATGCTTGGCTCCCACACAAAGACAGGCAATACAGGATGGATGAGAGCAGTGTGTAGTCCCAAACCCTTTTTGAGACACCCTGATGAACCCCAGGACACCAAGTCAGTCCCATGGGCCCTTCCACAATTTTTAAAATAACCCAAAGTGCCAAAATGGCTACCAAATGCAATAGTTTGGCTCCTGCTTCCCTGCTCAGCTCCTCAGTCTTTTAGGCTGCTGCCACACTGCAGAATTAATGCAGTTTGACACTGTTTTAACGGCTATGGCTCCATCCTATGGAATCTTGGGGTTTGTAGTTTATTGCGGTTTCTCAGAGCTTTCTGACAGAGAAGGCCATATATCTCACAAAACTACAAACCCCAGAATTCCATAGCATGGAGTCATGGCAGTTAAAGTAGTGTCAAGCTGTGTTAATTCTGCTGTGTAGATGCAGCCCTAATCGGAGGGTTCAATCTGTAACTGCCTTGAATCTCAGTCTCGGGGGGGAAAGGCAGGATATCAATAAATAGATGGGCTGATTTTACTTATTTATTTATCGGATTTATATCCCACCTCGCCCCAGCCCCAACCCCAACCCCAGATGAGATCCAAGGTGGCTAGGTGATTGGTTGGACTTTCCCAACCCTTCAAGAAAATGGCAAAAGAAATTGAAAACATCTCCAGAAGTGGTGTTGCACTGCTTCCAGTTTCAGCATGATAGTGAGCTATGGACTGGCATGGATCCCTGCTCCCTGTGCAAATGCCTGGTATTTAACAGTAGCCACCCACACTATGGGACTGAAACAGGCATGCATCTGAGAAAGGAGTGCTGTGCATGGAAGCCCAGTTTCCCTGGTGCACAGTTGCGGATCCAGACTCACTCCTCTGTCTCCAGCGAATTGACCCTGGCGACGTAGTTGCTGGGAATATAGCCTTCATTGCCTGTAGACAGTGACTTGGCTCTCCACCACTCGCCTGACCTGCACACACAGAGAAAGGAAAGCGTTAAAGTACAGCATATTTCATCCTGTGTAATATTTTTAGAAGACAGCCAATGAGGTCTAGTGCTTTGAGTGTTGGACTAGCACTCTGAAAGCCCAGGGTTCAAATCCCTGCTCAGCCATGGAAACCCACTTGAAACTTCAGCAAGTCACACTCTTTCCGCCCAGAGGAAGAGACTGGCAAAGCTACTCTGAATAAATCTTGCCAAGAAAACCATAGGATAGGGGTGCCGTAAGTTGAAATTGCATATAATTGACAAGATTCTCAGAGAAAACAAGTTGCGGACTCTTGGGAACGGTGCTTCTCATGCCAAACTCCCTCTTCTTGAAGGAACTGGATTGAGACCTGGTACTTACTCCTCTAGGACTTTGAGATGTTCCCCCTTCTGAAAGCTGAGGTCTTCCTTGTGGATGGCATCATAGTCATAAAGGGCCATGACAATGAAGTCTTCTGATCCTGTGGGAGTGAGGAAGAGCATGCATTCACAAAACAAGCGCAACACTCGGGATACAAGGGCAACCCTAGGGCTAGATCTTCAGTCTGAAAGAGGACAAAGATGCTCTCAGATGTCTCCATGAAAGGCAGTGTGCTTGGAATCATAGAATCATAGGATCATAGAGTTGGAAGAGACCTCACGGATCATGAAATCCAACCCCGTCATGCAGGAATACACAATCAAAGCACCCCCAACAGATGGTCATCCAGCCTCTGTTTAAAAACCTCCAAAGAAGGAGATTCCACCACCCTCCAAGAGAGTGTGCCCATTGTCAAACAGTTCTTACTCTTAGGAAGTTCTTCCTAATGCTAAAGTGGTATCTCTTTTCCTATAGCTTGCATCCATTTTCTCAAGTTCTATTCCCTGGAGCAGCAGAAAACAAGCTTGCTCCATCCTCAGTATGACACCCCTTCAAATACTTAAACAGGACTATCATATCACACCTTAACCTTCTCTTCTCCTGGCTAAACAAAAAGTTTCAAGAGCAAAGCAGCTTCATTTTCAAGAAGACACTTACCATCACTAGAGACTTCACTGCATCATTTGCCTTCACTTCCTAAGCTGCCAAAGGATCGATTTGCTGAGTGGAACAACATTGGGTCCTTTGAGCTAAGAACTAGGAAAAGTTACTTTGGGGGACTATAGCACCCAAAATCCCCAGCCACCATGGCCACTGGCCACATGGGCTTTTGGGATTCTGAAAACTACAGCACAAAGAGGTTGCTTTTTCAAGCTCTGTAGCAGCTCACCATGATACATGCAGACATTCTCCTCTCTACTGCTTTCCTTACTCAAAACATTCCCTTTCTAAGCTCCTTTTGCTTTAGAAAATAGTCATGGAGATAGGGAGGCAAATCCTCCACTGTTTTTGGCTCACTTGCAAGGTTGGCAGGGGCATCACTGGAGTGTGGGTGCAAGGAATGCGGACTGCACTGGGTGACACCTCAGAGGAGGGGGGACTACCTGCTGGAGCGGTCACTAACCCTCTGTCCCAAGACACCTTTGCCAGCCAGGGTACCTCTGCCCTCTGCCTGCTGTGACCACTGGCAGGGTGCTGCCATGTGGCAGCCCTTTCTGGGTCTGGCAGGGCTGCTGGCTGAGCTGGGAAAGGGAGGTGTTGCCAGAAGCAGCAGCAGCAGCAGCGCTGCCCATGGGATTCCTCTCCTTCCTGCCACCAATGCCTCCCCTTCCCAGTCTGGCCAGCAGTCCCATCAGTCCTGGGAGGGGAGGACTGGTAGCAGCAATACCTTTCCCAGGTGCCTGGCACACCACTGCCTGCCTTGACCTCCCTTACCTCCCACTGCCTTGCTCTGCACTTCTTTTGGGGCAGGGAGCACAGGGCAAGGCAGTGGGTAGGAATGGAGGACAAGGGGGTTTGCTATGGCTGCTGGTGGGGTGGGGTGTAGCGGCAGGTCTTTTCCCCCTGCCATCACCTATTCCCTTTCCCATCGAGCCAGCAGTGGTTCAATGCCTGTCCTGCAGCCACTCACTCATAGACCACAAGGTTGCGAGTTCAATACTAGCCAGGACTCCGGCTAGACTCAGGCCTGCATCCTTCCGAGGTCGCTAAAATGAGTACCCAACAGTTGGGGGGCAATGAGCTTACAGTTGTAAACCACTTAGACACCACATAGCAAGGTATGAAGCGACATATAAATGAAGCTGCTTTGCTTTTTGCTTTGCAGTCCCACCAGACCTAGAAGGGGCTGCTGGGACTACTGCCGCCATGCATTTGTTATTGCAGTGCACTTTTTAACCGATGGGCAAAACCCATCAATAGGCTCCCAGTCTTGCTGCTATTCCATTACTATAGGTCCCTTATGCTGCAGTTCTGCTTCCTGGGCATTCATATAGAGTGAGTGATTGGGATTCTGCCCCTCTCTCCTTCTATTCCCTGTCCCTAACAGCAATTGCAGCACCCAACACCTTCCTAAAACCGACTGCTGTGTGCCAGCTTCATGAGGTGGTTGGCAGCCACAATTGCTTGTTCCCAAAAAATGGCGTTTGGCAGCAGGGAACACAGATCATGCAATTGTGAATCACGAAAGTGCTATCGTCGGGGAAAGTGGGATGAAAAATGATATCAAACTGGTATGCTTCCATTCTTAGCACAATTGTAGTGGGACAACAGATTGGTGGGATAAAGTCCTTGGTTTCAACTTCCTGATAAGAGCAGTTCAACAGTGGAATATGTTGCTGCCTTGGAGAATGGTGGAGTCTCCTTCTTTGGAGGTTTTTAAGCAGAGACTGGATGGCCATTTGTCAGGAGTGCTTGGATTGTGTCTTCCTGCATGGCAGGGGTTGGACTAGATGGCCTTTGGGGTCTCTTCCAGTCCTATGATTCTATGATTCTAACTTCATTCATCCAAGAGGCTGAATCTTATACCCCAAAATAGTTCTTGCACCTTGGGTAGCTCCTTTGGAGTAAAACCTACAGTGGACCCACTATTCACATATACATGTGATTCTCCAGCTCCCATGTCATATGCCTTTTGCCCCTCCAAAGAGATACTTAGCAAAATTAGTTGTTCCTAGGGGGAAATGGCAGTCTTTGCAAGGTTTTAAGAAGGCATCTGATGTAGTAGCCCTGGGTTAGCAGCCTATTAAGCTGCCTTTGTCCAAACTGGACAATACATACCATCACTTCCCTGAGGGGTCCCCACGCTGGATCCTCGGTAAGCCTGGAATGCAATGGAAAAGTGATTGGTTCTTAAAATGGCCACAATTTATCCTTAGTACAGCATTTTTAATTTATTTTTTTTAAATGGTGCAAAACCTTCGGCAGACGCTCTTCAGGCTGGTGCTCTTTGGATGTGCTTTTGCCAGCTCTGTCCACTACCCCTGACAACATGACCATGTTGGACGGAGGATGATGGGAGCCATAGTCTGACATATCTGGAGAGTACCCAATTAGAAAGGTGGGCTTTCTACAGTTCTTAGTTCTCATTACACTGAAGAGACTGAGAAAATAAGCAGTTGTGTGTGGGTCATGACACCTTTTTTAAAAAACAACTGGTATTTAATTAATTCAGCAATAAAACCCCACGATAGGTTCGCCTTAGGGTTGCCATAAGTCAGAAATGACTCGAAGGCACACAAGAACAAATACTGGGCTAAGCAGGGGGTTGGACTGGATGTCCCTTGTGGTCTCTTCCAACTCTATGATTCTATGATTAAGCAATGAAACTATGGCCTCAGAAATAATGCAGGTGACACTGCTTTAACGGTCATGGCTCCATCCTATGGAATCCTGGGATCTATAGTTTGTTGTGGCACCAGAGCTCTCTCAGACAGGGAAGAAATAGAAGTATCTCACAAAACCACAAATCCTAGAATTCCACATCATTGAGCTATGGCAGTTAAAGTGGTTTCAAGCTGCATTATTTCTGCAATGCCAATGTGGCTCACATAATAGGGGAAAGAGAATGAATGTCCTCGAAGGGGTGTGAGAGGGCATTTCTGCCACATTTTTGCTTCTTCCCCTCATTTCGGCACAGGAGAAGCCTATTTCTAAATTAGGAAATGGGCAAGAAGTGACTTAATATGTTGTAACCCTCTGCCTCCAAATGTGGCAAAATGTCTCCATGCCCCCCGAGAACAATGGGGGGGCATTTGGGGGCAAAAATATTTCTTGATCCTTTAATATGGGCAGTAGAAGGGGGGGGGAATTGATCCTGAAAGGACTCCTGTGGGGTTTTATGTTCCCCCACAAATCTCTCACAATTTGCAGCCCCTTTCTTAGAGGTATAAATGCCTTTTAGCCAAAAATGACCATTGCAAATCCTTGCAGTCCCAGACCTCAAGGCCTATAAGATCATATGTATGTAGGATCCCAGCAATCAAATTTCTTGTAATGTGTTCCTTCAAACCTCTGTCCTTGGAACAGATGACCAGTAAAATCTTGTAACCTGTAACCTGTTCCTTCCAAGATGTGTGCTAAGCAATCCGAAACTGAAGCCCAATTCCACTACTTGGTTGGTTCTGCTATTGTTCCTGGTTGATGCCACTTCGATGAATGCAGCACCTGTCCTTCCCCTTGTCTCTGACACTCCTTGGCTTCTGGACTTACAGGAAAGTGCTTAGACGTGGGATCTTTGACGTAATGACCCTGGAAGCTGGAGCTGGAGTTGGTCCTTGAAGTCTTTCCATGAAGGCCAAGTTCTTTGGATTTAATACAACCCATCCTGGGAGGAATGAAACAGAAAAGAGAGACCTTAAACCTGGGATGCTTTTGCCGTGGAGGGAAAGAAACAGTTCTTCTTGTGATAACCTCACTCCTTCAGTCTGCTCCATCAGTTTTGTGCTTTGTCTAGAACAGTGCGATGGCACAAGAAATAGTAATAATAATAATAATAATAATAATAATAATAATGATGTGCATAAAACGAACTTTGGGTACATTGAACCATCAAAAAGCAAAATGGATGACTGTCTTAGCCACCCATGAATCACGTTTTGGACTTTGGAATATATTGGATAATAATAATAATAATAATAATAATAATATAAAATATAAAAATATTTTAAATAATTTTGTACATAAAACAAAGTTTGGGTACACTGAACCATCAGACAGCAAATGTATCACTGTCTTGCCACCCATGAAACATGTTTTGGATTTTGGA